CAAAATCTGAAAATAATGAGATTATTCTTGTTTAAATTTTCTATTTATATGCTCATACAACACTTGATCTCTTCATTTGGAGACATATGTCCTCCTCATACCACTAAATCTCTCACATTTTCTTACAAATATTTTCCTATAAAACATAATGAAAATTATTCACGAAAGCACTGTGTATTGAAAATATAATATTTTAGACTGTAAACAAAAATTGAGAAACATTTTAATCTGATTCTTAAAAAATTGAAAAGTTTTTACCACAGAGATAAAGATCAATGCTTGCTTTCGAAGCTATATTATTTGTCATCGTCATATAATTCATTGAACAAAACCACTAGATTATTTAATGGATGGCATTGGATCAACTAAAATTATAGGCAACAAGTTATGAATGCAGTAGATGATACTTAATGAAATTTAGTGCTCTCTTTTCCATTAGCCCAAATATAACTTTATTCCACAATTTGTTCTTGTTTTCTTCAAGTAGATGGTAGACCTAACTTTATCATAAAAAGAGCAATTTTTATGATCTGCAATTAAGCTTCAACTAACTTTACAGGCGCCAGCTTGCAGACTCAGTAATACTAGCTCCTAATTTCTCTTCCTTCCAATTGAAGTGAACCAAATCTGATGAAACCCTGAAAGCTCTACAGATTTGCCTCCAAATTCTGAGATCTTCTCGGGTCATTCATAGATGATAATTGACAAAAGCTTTGTGCTTTTATCTACTTGTCGAGTGCCACAGAAAATTACAGTGACCCAAAAGGCCTTATATTAGTATAGAAGTCTCTTTTAATGGCTACTGCAGCTTCTGATTTTACTTGCACGTGTAGACATGGCTTATAATAATTAAAAGCATGCACAGTGCATCTTTCACTGTCACATATTTTCTCGTGTTATATGGAAAATTTCTCTGCTATTTTCTTTACCTGCACTGCACCCATATGAGTTTGTTTTTGTGCTGGCTAGTGACCACGAATGTCTTTTTCATTTCAGCAGCTATGGTGAAGACTGAAAGAGTGTTGTACGTTCTTCCTTTAAGCACAGATATATTGAAACTCACATTTTTTCCTTTCTGAGTTTCCTTCACTGGGACGAAATGTTCAATGCCAGAATCACACTCAACGAATTTACTTTTTAGCCACCAAAGGCAACAGTAAGATGTGGCAAAAAATTCCTCTGAACTTTTTTTTCTTAAATTAATGGTTTCATATATAAGCACACAAATAACCATGCTCCTTAAGTTATCAAATATTAAAATATTTATTCATTTTTAAACTAAAGTTTAAATCTCAGAAAACGTTAAATATCTAGTTATTTGATGGCATATACAATCAAACTTATGGAGTGTGAAACATCTATTTACTGAACAGTGTGCACAAATGATTCAACTCCAAATTAACTTATACTGTAATTATTATAATAAATTATCGATATTAGTACTGGTTTGACTTTTGAATTGTTTGAGTCAATTTGAAAATTTGTTGTTTGTGTAATAGTAGTTTTATTTTGAATTTGATACATTTTTTTTCTGATTGAAACTTGATTCTTTGGTTATCTCCAGTTAAATGGTGAGAAGAGAGTAGTCATTGGAAATAAGGGTGAAAGGGTTGGAAGCATCATAAAAGTCATGGAAGAATAAAATAGGTTTAATGTTTCAATAGGTTCCTGTTTTCGTTCACAATATCAAATAAGACCCTTTCTTTTTTGGCATTTCAATTGGGTCCTTATTTTTATAAAATTGAATTAAATAGGACATTTCCGTTAAATTGATGAGACGGCGTTAAATGTTGTATGCTGACAGTGTTGTTTTAACACTTAACGCCGTCTTATCAATTTAACGGAAAGGTCCTATTTAATTTATAAAAATAAGGACCCAATTGAAACGCCAAAAAAGAAAGGGTCCTATTTGAGATTCAGGACGAAAAAAGGGACCTATTGAAACATTAAACCAATAAAATAAGGTTCACTAATTGAGAGAAGGAAAAATCAATGTACTTAAAAAGAAAATGTATGGTGATACCATATTAAAAAAAGAAGAAAATGATTTTTTCTAATATTGAAAAATTGAACAAAAGGTAGAAAATTTATATACAATTTTAAAACTCTAAAAAGTAAAAAAATAAAAACCTATTAACTGTTGGTTAAAATATTTACTAATACCCCATCTAAATTAAAATAAGTGTCTGTGGTTTTCAATTTACTTGTAAAAAAATAGGGGGCTATAATTTCTATATAAATAATTGCAGTTTGATGTTGACTCTTAACGTAAATCAACTTAATATCAGTTCAAAATAAAATAAAATAAAATGTTGATGAATATCAACGTATTTTGAATGTTCACGATAAGTAAAATTGGAAACAAGTTGAATGATAGAATGTTGTCACATAAAATCATGATTGAGTTAACTTAAATTATGTTCAATTCAAATAATTCAGTTTAGCTAGATTAAAAAAAATGATTATTTTACGTGTTTTTGTTATACGTTTTTATCTTGTGAAAATAAAATTAATATAAATATATATATATATATATATATATACATATATATATATATATATATATATATATATA